TTGTGAATTAAGTCTCTAGTCTATATGCAAAGCCTATGTAGCAAAAGTTAGCAATCAAATAAAATTACAGAAGATGTCAGGCTGAAGAGAATCTCCTGCATCTACTACAACTTCCATCCCATCTGGCTGAGGACACACTTGAGAACACCTCTATGCAATCTTGTCCAACCTGACCTTAATAATTCCAAGCTAGCCATTACAAGTTGTTTTATCTTGTACGCTTGAGTTCAGCACAGGACCCAGAAAGATGGACTACTGACCCACAGGATCTTCATAAGAGGAGAGGCTGCAAAGGGAGCTGGGAACTCTTTCAGGCCTGGAGAAAAGGCAAGCTCAGAGGGATTTATATTGATAAGATAGGAGAGGAGTGGGAAAAAAGAGGTACGAACGGACTCTCTCCATAGATGCCCACTGACTAGGAAAAGAGGCAATGTGCACAAGCTAAAACACATGAAGTTCCATCTGAACACAAGAAAATACTGCTACTCTTGAGGGTGGTCAAATGCTGGAATAGGCTGTTCAGAGAGGTTGTGAAGTCCTGCAGAGTCCCCACCTGCCGAGAGATCCAAAACTCAACTGGACATGGTCTCAAGCAACCTGCTTTATCTGACCATGCTTGAGCAGAAAGGTTAGACTAGATAATCTCAAAAGGTGCCTTCCAACCTGAATGATTCTGTGATATGCTCTCAAGTTTCATTTGCGGTTTCATCAGCGCAACAGAAGAAAGCCAGGAATTTAATTAAATTCTTTGACATGAACAGGAGGGAGAATGATACAGCTTATGCAGTTTTTGTTATGCCATTTCCCTCTCAAAAAAGCTCACTGCCTTGGTCTCTGGCATCTCTCAGTGAGCCCCTCACTAGGTGGAGTAACATTCCAGCTCTTCCTGATCTACAGAGCTCCAGAAAAATTCTCATCTTCCTTCTAACTGCCCGCTGTCCTCCATATTCACCATACAACTCCTTTTACCCACTTCTGACCCACAAAAAGTTTGCTGGTACTCATCTTCTGTTCTTGTCTGTTTCACTGCACAAGAGCTCTGCACAGCCAGGGCTGCACTTTTCCTTCAGCAGCACAGTGCACAGCTGCTGTCACATTCAGGTATCACCAATATCAGGCAGATGACGACTTCCCTGTATTTTTACCTGCAAGAATCTGCTTGGATACAAGTTCAAAGTCACTAATTAATTAATAAATGCTTTGGAAACATCAGCTTTTAAAGTAAGAAATTTGAAATGTTTCAAGACAACATAGGTATGTGGCTCAAATAAACAGAAGCAATTGAAATGTCAACTGAGCTTTGGTAATACATGAGGAAGAGAAAGGTCACTGATTTCGACTGTGTGGCACAGATTCCCAGATGCTTAATGCACACAGCACAGCATGGTTTTATATCACAAGCCAAACAAGAGGGATGAAGTAGCAGGGTGGTCACTGCACCTGGCTGGTGACTACACCCTGCCAGACCCAAGCTGGCTTGTACAGAGACATCCTGAGCAAGGATGTTTCATCTACAGAAAAGGAGGCTCAGGGGAGACCTTACTGCTCTCTACAACTACCTTAAAGGAGGCTGTAGACTGGTGGGGGGTGATTTCTTCTCCCAGGCAATATACAATAGGACAGGAGGAAACAGCCTCAAGTTGAACCTGGGGAGGTTTAGACTGGATACCAGGAAAAATTTCTTCACTGAAAGCATTGGAATAGGCTTCCCAGGGAAATGGTGGGATCACCATTCCCGGAAGTGTTCAAAAAACTTGTAGATGTGGTGTTTACAGACATGGTTTAGTAGTGGACTTAGCAGTGTTGGGTTAATGGTTGGACTCAATCTCAGAGATCTTTTCCAACCTTAATAATTCTGTGATTTCCATGTTCTTAGCACAGCTATTGCATAACCTGAAAAACTTCCCCAAAGATAACAGGAGTGCCTGCAGATGCAAACCTTCGTGCCTTCTGTATTTTGCCAGAATTGAGAAACTGTAGAACTGAAAATACCCCATCAACAAAACAGCAAGAGTCAGTGTCAGCACAGTTTTCAACAAAGCTAGATGAGTGCTTCCTCATTTCTGAATTCATATCAAACTAATAAAAATTAAAATAGTTTTCAGCATGTGATGTCTGGGGGTGTCATGTTCCCATGATGCCCTAAACTGCAACCAACAGCTGTACTAGAGGCAACAGCACAGCCTGAGCAGGGCCAGTGTGCAGCCTCAGCAGAACTTGCCCTCACTGTATCCTGTCTCACATGCCCCACTAGCTCAGGATTCAGCAATTAGGAAGCTGAAGTTCAGCCATTTTAGCATCAGGCTTAGTTTTTCAGCCTGTGCTGACACTGCTGTTAGAAGTACTGGTGAACGCACGTGAAGAGAAGTATTTCCCAGAGAAAGACACCCAGACCCAAATAATGTCAAACTTTCTCTGCTAAGCACTGTAAGAACTGAGGGCTGCCTTTCTCAGGAAAAGTTCACGGTCTGCTGTGATTTAATTAAGACCTTCTAAGAGCCCCTGACTTCCTCTAAAATCCTAACAATGAAGTCCTGGGAGCAGAGCACGGGTTGTGTTTCTCTTTGGGAGAGGTCTGCTGCCACAAACACTTGTACCTTAAGTCACTCATGCTGGGGCTGGCCGTAATCAAACTGAAAGGCAGATTTTTTTTTTATTACCAAACAAGAAGAAAGTTTTCACAGTTTCACCCAAAAAGGGAACTATGTACACCTGGGGCTGACTTCTCCTCAGAGGAAACATCAAAACATTTGCATTTGAGGCCATTCACAAAACGTGGTCTGTAGAATCATATAATGGAAGAGGTCACAGAGTCATTTTTTTCCCCACACAGAAGTAGGATCTGATACACTCATCCAAATACTTTGGCCATGAAAGTAGTCCATCTTAATTAGGTTCTTCCTTCACAAGAGTCAGCATGAGACCAGATGGTTTGCCTTTGCAACTGCTCTTTTGTGCACGGTGCAGGCAGGTGACAGCTCTCATCAGGTAGGACTCTCATAACAGTCACAGAAGTCCAGAAATTCTGAATCTCTGTGTACCAAACTATCTGGAACATGCTACAGTAGATTCCACAGCAAATGAGTTTGGTTTTATCTTATTTTTTTCTCTCAGTCAAATATTTTCTAGATTCGCTGAAGTCAGTTTGAGATCAACGTATGCTTATTAAAGTGAGAAACCAGAAAATAAGCTGATTTTTTTGTGTTACGCAGAAACAACAACAAAAATCCAAAGCACAATCTCCCCTTCAAAACACCATTTAAGTAAAGCTAAAGCACAGTTCTTTTCAGCACATGCTAACTTGCAGCACAGATAGCACCTCTGGAGAAGGACTCTACGTCCAACTGTGAAAAGTCAGCCTGTAGAGCCTTTCCCTAAAGAAGTTTTGACACAGATGTCAAACATGTCTGACAGGCAGCCCACTAAATTGCTGCTCAAAATGCAGCAAGCCTGAAGAGACTGGTGAGAGCTGGCTCTGGGAAAAGATTTCAGGATCAACATCCCTTTGTATTCTCACACACTCTTCAACTACATGAGAACTTACTCCTAGTCTGGCCTAAAATAACTCTGACAATCCTCACACATATTAAGTAAAGCCACTAACACTCACATCCAGTGAGATGTTTAAACCTCCTCAACTTTGAATAGCATATTTTAAAATCAATAAAACATTGGTGCCATGCTCCAAGTTTGGAGAAAAACAGTAAGTAAACTTTTGTTTTTGCTAGAAAGTGACAGAAAAGCTAATTTAATCTCTGTTCAGTTTTATTTTTCAGAGTATAAAAGTTCAGCCACTGTTTTTTGTTTTCTTCCAAACTGAAAGCAAAGGAGCCAGACTACTTTAGTTCTAGGCTATGCCTTGGGAATCCAAGATGGTTTAGAGGTGTGTGAAAGAGAAACGCAAACTTCAGTTCATGCAGATTTTTAAAATTTACTAAGAAATATCTGTTGTGATCTGGTTACCTGAGAATGACATCTACAGCATAATCCCTAAATTATCTTCTTTCAGGGGGACCATTTCAGCCAAGATCGTGACTTGCACAATTTATTTTTACAGTGTTTAATTTTTTATCGTGAATATTGCACTTGTTATCCCAGCATAAAGCATCTTTATGCACAAAACACTAGACACACTAGAAGACTGCACTGCCTCATTTCTGCCAGAAACAAATCTTAGTTCAAGATGCAACTGCAAGATTCCAATCTTGCTAAGGCTGACAAAGAATACTATAAACCTACATATGGTAATGTCATAAAAACACCTTGACCAGGACAACTCCCCAGAGCTCTCCATCTTCATTTCAAGAGAAACAGAAAGAAATACTACACACTTATAAAGTTTTAGAAAGTTCTGAATCAATTAAAACTCAGTACATTTGGCTTCTATAATCTCCAGCTGTTAATACTTCTGTGCTAGTTACAAGGTGATCACTCTCAGACTGGTTGTACTATTTTTAAGGCCATCAGTGCAATTCTCAAATTAATCTCTGCCTTTCCATCATAGGTAACAAGCTAATCTGTTACTATGTGGTTACATCTCTGATTTTAGGCCCACTGCTATAGAATACATATTAGACAACCTTATTTTGGTTCTGGTATGACAGAAAAGTAAGTCTTAAAGAAAATATAATTCTTTTCCTTAAATTAAATACATAGAAGACATTTTTCCAGTAATTTGGGTCAATAAATTTCAGGGCACAATATTTTCAGGCAGAACACTAAAGGTAAAGTATTAATTTTTTATTTGCTTTCAAAACTAGGCACCTATGACAACCTCAGCTTCAGAAGTTCTCTGTGAGTCACTAGTAAACTTTTCTGAATTAGGCACCAATTGACCAGGCATAGAAAAACCTGGGTAAAAATTCCTAGTTTACAAGAGTTGCACAATGTGCTTTAGTTTTCTATTTCAGTAAAGAACATTAACAGTGTTAAAATAAGAACAATGTATCCCCTCCTCCAACTCCTGACCAGAAAGCACAACTTCATGGCTACCATCTTACCTTCTGAAATAGCCTTCTTGACAGCTGCAAGGTAAGCATCAGGCTCATCATCATTTGTGAGTTCCTGCCACTGAGACCAGTCCTTAAAAAAGGTCAAATAGTCGTCACAGTCCGTAACACCACAGAACAGCTTGACTACTTTGCACGGGGGCCATAAAGCTTCCTGAAGGCTCTGCAGGACATGAGGAAGATAAAAACTGTGCACGAGCTCTGCAGAAAGCAAAAGGATGATGCTCCGACTTCTGCTGAACAGGTCCAGGTCCTGGGGGGAAATGGCAGACTCGCCTTCCAGTCGGTAGGTCAGAATCCGATGCTTTCGAATGTGCCGAGTAAAGAGGAAGAGGTTCTGGAGGTACTGACACCATTCAGCAGCGTCACTTGCATACACAATCAGCACATCATATTCTCCAGGGGTTCCTGTACAGAGGCAAGATCATCACAGAAAAAAGATTAAATTCAAAGCATGCGCTGACCCACAGCTTTGCAACAAAATCCCCACAGCTCTGTCTCTATAATTCCTGTCAAAAGCTACAAAGCACTTCAAAAGAACAGTAGTTCTATCCAAAATGAGGTGTTCACAGAAACAGAAGAATTCTATGGGTGGATGAACTCCTACTTGCATCTACTCCACCAAAATTTAAGTAGTTTTCTCATTCTCAAAAGACTCTCCTACAAAGAAGAGTGTTTCCTATGTAGTTTCAAGTGAAGCAAACTACATGTCGAGATTTACAGATTTAAAGTATGTTGATGGAAAATAAAAAACCACAAAAACCAGACCTCCAAAACAAACTAGCTTGAAAAGGGGAGTTCACCTTTGTGTACAAAGTTAAATCATTTTAGGCAAGGAGAGGCTCTGTGCAACACAACTGCAACCATCCTCATTACATGATCAATTACATGATTAAGTGGAGCATACACTAAACAACACACCTAAAATAAGAAAGTCCTTTATTTAAATGAGGTCCCACCATGCATACAGGAAGTCACTATGGCTTCCATGGTGTTAGACATTTGCTCTCATTGCAGCAGAAAGCAAACTGCCTGCAAAGTATGCATGCAACTTAGGGTACACCAGCCCCAGTGCTCACAGAGCAGCAATTCTGTCATTCAGCCTTCAGGCATTTTGCAAGCCTGCATTAGAGTCTTTCCCCCAGAGCTGTCATACAACAGTTTCCCAACAATTTTGGCAAGACAAAACCTCTCTTCAGAGGGAAAGAATAAATACAATAGTGGGGCCATAACACAGCCCAAAATATCATCACCAAAGTTATGTTCTTCCATAATTCTCTAGAGATAGCTTCTACCTACAGACTCATACATTTCTGTGCTCTGGAACGAAAGCATTTTTAAAACTGTTACCAGCTTGCTAAGAAGAGCAGATGCAGATTGAACCAGCAGGATACGATGCAGTGCTCTCCCACCAATCCCAGGAAAACCTTTAAGTCTAAATTTAATTTTCCCATTTACCTGGGAAGAAGTTTACCCAAATTTGAGGTTACAGCTCTAGTCCCATGATAGATTTCAGAGCTAAGCATTTCAAACCTTATTAGCAAATTGTCTTCTTCTAATTCCAGTTTGACTCTTTAAAAGCGTCAACATTTCCAACCCATGTCCATCCAGAAGCAAGCAAAGGCAGATTTTTCTAATTAAAGTCAAAGGCAATGCCTAAAATTTGGCATGCCAAAAAGAGGACCTGCAGAGAGTGAATTTACCAGAACTGAAGATGACAGTTTTGCAGTGAGCATATAAAAATTCAATCAAAATTACACAGCCTCCAAAGACTTTATTCTACCACCTTTTCCAGAACTTTCATTAAGAAATTAAGGCTGAAATTATGTCTAGGCTGAGGGACTCCAGCCTTAAACTATACAATTAGCAGCTTTAAACTGTAGTGCAACAGAAGTGATACAGTTGAGAAGTAAAGCATGGAGATGTGCTCTGTGCTCAACAAATAGTGTTATGGTTACCTGCATAAATGGGAAGACTCTAGCAGTGAAAGGATGATGTCCTAGCTATGGAGAACATGGAAAGTGCAGTTCTTCAGTATTCACTAGGACAGCAGCATGTTTCTGAGCAAACACAGGTCCTGACCCCAGATGGAGGCTTGTAGGAGACAGCATTCCCAAAGGAGGGAATCCAGCAAACTCATAAAGCGGCCAAAAGAACTCAAAACATTGGGACCTTTAAATTAAGAGTGCAGAACTGCTATGAAAAAAAGATGGCTTTCACACCAGTGAGTGCACCACTATCGACAAAATATCACAGTGGTGGCTGAACACCACCTGACAAAGATGACAGAGTCACATGAGCAAAACCAAGAAAATCAAGCAGAATTCAAGTGTTATTCTAGAAAGGGAGATGTTCCACTGACTTCTGCTTGCACAGTCATGTGCTGATTTATGTGCAGTACAGTGGGAAAGGACAGCACAACTGTCTGCTGAGAATGGAGCCCACGCATTGCATCATGGTCAGCCAAGCACAACCTCAACAGATGGGGAGACCACACAGTGACTCTCTGAGGTGTGCCCAAGGCTCCTAAAGTCCTGCCCCAGCACTCTTTGGGAGAAGTCCCACCTCTAGTCTCTGGGAAAATCAGTAGTGGCCCCCCAGGCATTTTAATGTTCTGTAAAATGGAACACCTAATCCTATCATTGGTCTTTAAAAAGTGCACAGCTTCCACAACTAAACCTGTTAGCCAACAGGCCCTTCTCCAGCCCTTCAATGAAAGGAAGCAGCTGTGCTTGGAGACAGGGTGGAGGAGCCACTGATTTTAAAAATGCATTGCACTACAGTGGCACTAAGTATCTGAGAAAGCCTCCATTCTCTGATATGTACACAAAAGATGCAAACTTGACAGACTCGCTGCAAGTTCCCTGCCAGAGCAGCGCAGCCTTTGCATCCAGCAGCAAGGAACTTCACCCAGTGTTTAGGAAAGGTACTGATTCCCTAACTAATGCTGCTCTATGGGTGCACCATTCCCCTTAACAGAGCTGTGCCAGCTCTCCTCAGGCCCTCTTACCTCAATTCCTACAGCCTTCTACACTTACATGACAAACTGAGGAACAATGCTCCTAAAAGGAGAACTGAGAATTAAAATTACTGACTCCACCTTTACAGCCAAAGAAACACTCTATGTTCATAAGTAAAAATACTGGAAGTGGGTCTTGCAGAGCTAAATAAGCTTTAGTCAGCATTGGAACTGCTTCAAATAAAACAAAAATCTAGAAATAACTTCAATTGCAACATTCTCTTTTAAAAGAAAGATGACACAGGAGTCACTTTCCTGGATCCCGCTATTATTTGTCTAACCTAATTGCTCCCTTTGCAGCACCAACTACTGTCCAGTCCTCATGGAAAAGTGTAATGAAGAATACAAAACATTTTTTTCCACAATTCTTCACACATCAGTTACAGAAAAATTCACAGAGCACAGTTCAAAGCACAATGTATACTCTGCCTACTGTACACAGATAGGGAAATACCTAGGTGAAAACCAACCATTTTATTTCCTTTAACCTTGACCTTAGATGCTTGTACAATGCTTTTGACAGGATGGTTTTGGAAAAACAAACAGAGAGAAGTTTTCAATTAAAGTCAGAAATATATGAAAAATATATAAAATAGTATGATGATGAAAGACTTGTGCCAGCTGACTATCTCAATAATCTTTCACACTCTCGAGAGTAATCTAGTTTAAATTTTAACAAGGCCTTATTTCTGAACTCCTAAATTTAGGGTATTAAAATTACTTTTGCCTCCGTTTACAAAGTACCAGCACTATTAATAATATTGCAAGGCATATTTATTTATTTCATAGAAAATCATGAAGGTGCAGTTCTGTTGCAGTTTGCAATGATAAACCATAACCTCTGTACTCCTTTCCAGCTGTAACTGCCTCTTCAGTGCTTAGTTGCACACTCTATTATACAGCAATAGTAACAGAGTGATGAGATTACAAGCCATTATTATACAAATGCCTAAGAACACTAACTGAGGGGTAAGGCCCACAGACTAAATAACAGACAAAGAAATACAAAGCTTTCTCCTAGCTTACAAACTGCATGCAGAATGGAAGAGGATGAAACAATTCAGTAAAAATCACTGAAGCCCATGGCAAGAATAGAAGTATCCTATAGTGACAGACTGTGTCATGCCCTCGTAGTCCCTCTCTGAGAAGCAAACAATGTCTGAGAGTAGTAAGGTGACAGTCTTCAAGTTAAGAGCACACATGGGATAATGGTTTATGGCCACATCATAAGGTTCTGATTGCCATTGAAATAGATAAAGAATACTGCGGGAAGTTGGCGTATCAGCTCTGGGTAACACTACATCTTACAATATCAACTGTTATTATCTACTATTTCATTCCACAAGCCAAAGGGTTTGACCTTTTTCAATTTACAGATCATAAAGTTTTCAACTGTACTTATAGGTCCCATAAAGAAAATTCAGGGCCTGTAATAATACACAGCTTTTCTGTGTCATCTTTCACATACCTCTCATAAGTAGATCATGATTTCTCATTGTCCACAGATCAGGTAAAAAACTGAGACACAAATCCTTTACTCCAGCTCAGATGATCACATACAGTGGTGAGCAAATCTATTTTCATCTGCTAGAAAAAAGCCACCTCTGATTCTGACTACATAAGAAAAGCATTATGTAGCCTGCTCCAGTTTGGTTTGAGATTCCCGTGTGTGTTGAAGATACACAAATATTGCAGTCCAAAATAAAAATCCCTCTTCATGAAAGGCAGTTGCCTATGGTATAAATAAAACCCAACTCAAGGTGTCTTAATAATAAAATTCTTTAAAGGAGAGAGCACTTCCAAGAGGTGATAGAAACTACTGGTGGGCCATTAAGAGAAGTCCTCAGCACCTTTCATATTTTAGCGTCTGAAGTGTGTGTATTTAAGTGATGTATGAGGAAATAAATGCCTTCTTTGCATAGATGGAATGCAAAGTAATAGTGATCACTTGCAATAATTATTAACATCCTAGTGAGACTTCTTACCTTGACTGGAATAGAAAACCTTCACTTTAAATAAAGTGCTGCAAACAAGCAAGAGGAAACAGCAGAATCAAAGCAGATAAAATTTCTGCAAACCAAACTTCAGCGATAGGAACACGAGATTTGCATTATGATATGTTAATCTACAGTTGTTCTATTTTTAAGAGTCTCTGTGAAATCACCTTCCATTTATAAGGAGAAAAGTAGTTTTGCCCACAAGTCTCCTGAGGCCTCCGTTTAGTTTATTTTTACATCACAAGGAGATACGCGCCAGTGAAACGCAAACGTTACTTCACACCCTGAGAATGGCACGTTTTTCCTTTTTTAGATAAAACATACACTTCCCTGCAAGAAGAGGAACTTGCACACTGGGCATTAGCAAGACTTACACAATACAGGCCAAACCCCTTGTCCCCTTGAGTTTACAACTCTGTTCTAGGTAGCTTTGCCTGCACATATGTTAGCTAAAACATTTTCAATTATGGCAACCTAGTTCAGTTGGTGATCCTGAGACACTATCGCAGGGGGCACCAAGTCATACCCCCAAGAGGAAGCGCAGTGCAGGAGGATAAAGCCGTATTTAGGAAGAACTGACTTATCTATAAAACATCACAGAGAAATACATGAGCAGTAAAGACGGACCGGGACAGATTCCTCTACGGAACACCCTCCCTTAGAGCTCGCCGATCTGCCAACCCGAAGTGCGTTTAAGATGCGGGACAGCTCTGCCAGCACCTGCCCTGAACTCAAGCCAAGTGAAGCAAGGCAAGGTAGAAAGAAAACAGCGAACCAAGGAGCCAGCGTTGCTCCGAAGAGCCCCGGGGTTCCCCTGACCTCGGGGAGCGGACCCTCCTTCCCCTCTCCCCAGCAGCGGGGCGCCCGGGGCGCGCAGAGCCGCGCAGCAGCATCCGCCCCGCCGGCGGGAGCGGGCAGGGCTCCGCGTACGCCCCAAGTACCGGCCACCGACGGGGACAGCCGCTCCCGGACCGCACGCCCCACCGCAGGCCGCGGGGAAGCCCCTGGCCCGCCGGCCGGCCACAGCGGGGCACAGCGCGCGCGCAGCGCGGCAGGACCGGGCGGAAACGCAGCCCCCGCCGCCTCCGCCCCGGCTACCGCGGGCGACAGCCGCGGCAGCCTACCGCGGGGCCGCCAATGGTCCGGGGCTGGCCGCGAGAAAGAGCGCCTTCCCTTCCCGTCACATCGCCGGCGAGCCGAGCGCAGTCCCACCCACGGTGCGGCCGTGCCTCGCCCCCGCTCGCAGGCGGGCCGGCCCGGCCCCCGCGCCCCCTCCCGGCCCCGCTCCCGCACGCCCGCCGCCCCGGGGCGCGCCCCCTGCGGAGCCGGGCACGGGCCGCTCCGCCCCGCCGCGCCTCGCCTTCCCGGGACTCGAGGGACTCTTCCCCAAGCAGGGAAAGACACTGCCTTTCCCAGCTGGCCCCAGGCACATTCTCCATAGGTGGCCGAGGAAACAGCGCTACAACGAGGAAAAGTTATGTGTTACGGTGACACAGAAACTCCGTATCCTTAGTGACGAGAAACTGGGAGAAAAGTTGTGGAAGAGAACAAGCGAAACCTGCTTTATGCATACCGCTAACTTAGGTTTTGACTTCCGTCTCTAATGGACAAGGAAAACTCCTAGGGGAAAAGCAAGTTGTTCCACGTAGAATGAAGCAGCTTGATGTTATGGGTTTTCATCTAGAAGATGCTGCCTTTCAAATTAGATTTACCGAATTCCGTATGACTACGCTCATGTTTGAGTACATAGAAAATAAGCAGTGGAAGGACGCTTAGAGTTCAGAAAGCAAGATTCAATTTATTAATTTTGTTGCTGGAGGCAAAGCACAAATTCTGCCTGTTCCTTTGCAAACTTAGAAAAAACACTTGCACTGATTTGGATTCCGAAACATTTCTTTGCCAAGCACCACTGATGCGCTTAGCACAGCAAAAGCAGACTCCGTCTAATCTGTTTTCCCAGTCAAGGCAGTCATTCCCAAGCAGTCAGGTGGACATTCTGAATGCAGTTTAGTGTCACCAACACCAATGTCAGAACTGAGCTGGCTACAAGCAGAAAGGAACCAACTCTTCTACTAATCAACTCTTAGAAGTTGGTCAAACTCTCTTGTTACCTCCAAATCATTCTTTACTCAAAACCCATTTTAAGCTTATGAACTGTGTGCCGCAGCCTGTCTTCCAAAATCAGTGTTTGCTCTCACAATAAGGAAATACCAGGACAGAAAGCACTTTCTGAGCACAGCCTTACAAGAAACTTCAAGTATACAAAGAAGAAACCATAACTTTCCCATCTGAATCATCCTAAAAACATATAGGAGAATAAAGAACACATGGGCACTGGAGAAATGTGCCAATGCAGAACCTACTTGGGATTTATCTGAAGGACAAAAGTTAACTAATTGAAAACTAGAGTCTCTAGCCAAATTAATTTACTATTATGGAATGGTAAACATATATTAAAAACTATTGAAACAGATGGATAACGACATGTATGACTTTATAATTGTTCCACATTATTTGACTTGTAAAGCTGTTTAGCTTCTAACTTCCAATAGCTTTTTAGTTAAAAAGAAAATCATCTCTCTGATGTTAGATGAGGATTTCAACATGATCTTATGAAATGAGCTTTTAAATTCTTTCTCTCTATAAAGTCTTGCAGTATCACACAAAGGGCTGGCAGAGTTACCTTCCTGCTTTGTGGGAACCCATAGGGCTTATCCATATATATCAGTGTCACTTAGGATGCTATGCATTTTATTTAACCAATGCAAGCCCACAGGAAACCTCTTTAAATTTCCCAAGTCTCTAAAGTCAAAATAATGTGTCTCCACAAATGAGGCAGTGAAGTAACTGCCAGCATGTTGTTTCAGCAACCTCCACCTAAAAACTCAAATGATAAATCAAGGCAAAAGCTCCTTCACACCCTAGAACACTAAGCTGGCCTAAGGGACAGTTACACAGCATAAAATGGATTAGAGGGAAAAAAAAGGAGGAAACAGAGGGAGGTTTTCATCCTCCCTTGCCTGAAATTGACTGTGCAACTCTTTCCTCACTTCAAATCACTGCAGCATGTAACCACAGCTGCATTTGCAGCATTATTCTCAAGAGTCTGTCTTATCCCTGTCCAAAGAAAAGGACTAGACTGCTTTTTCTAGACATTGCTTTTTTGCTAGGTACTTATGAGGGGTTACAACGAAAGGATTCAGTAAGTGTTTGAATACTCACGCTATCTCTCTTCATTTTTTTTGGGCCAGAAAAAAAATAGGAAGAGCAGAGACTTCTCACGAAAATGTTCTCTTCCAAGATGAACAGGTCTCCCTGCAGCCTTAACAAAAGAGATATGGCAGCCAAGGGGAAGACTGAAAAGACCTATGATGAACAGGTGAGTGGAGCAAAGGAATGCACAAGCAATAGCATCAGGATTTGCTTGCTTTTTAGATCCCAGAATCTCCCACTACTGCCTTGGGGAATTCAAGAACAAAATAGCTTTCCCTTCCAGGTCATCTGAACAGCTGCAGGCACAACACAGGGGAACACACCTAGACAGACACACACCGCTGAAGAGAAGCTTCTACACAGCACAGGGAACAGATCTTTACTGGCAAAGGCCAGGCAGGAAAGGGAGATCCTAACCAGATGAGAAGCAAAGGGAGTCTGAAGCAAACAGTCAGTAACTTCACTGGTTCCTCACACCAGATACTTCAGACAGCAGGACTTAAAATAAGGACAGTTTACCAGCAATGGCTGCATGTCTTCCTTTTTGATGCAGACAAAAGCACAAGTTTGCTGAGCTTTGCAGATGAAGCTTGCAGCTGTACCTTACTGTAGATGGAAACTAGAAAAACTAAGAGAAATATTAGTTCCTGGAAACGGTTTCCTTTCTGCAACACAGCCTTTTGTTATTCCATACAGAACAGGAGCAGGTCAGGTCAGGGACATCTGAAAACAAATACACGCATTTAACCAGCTCTCAGGTGAATGTCCTTTTTCTACACCACAGGTTACAGCACCTGTACAAAATTACAGAATCTTACAGTACAAAATACCACTACAAGAGCTGACTTTTACTTCCCCATGAGTGCAAACGTGGCACTTTCCAGAGACACCAGCAACAGGAATGCTTTGCTGAGGACAGAGCCCCACCCAAGTGTGTGTGTTCATCAGGCACTAGGAGAGGGACAGAACACCCACACAGCAGGAACAGCAATCTTTGGAGATCGTGAAGTGCAGAACGCTAGGTAGGGGAAATGTAAAAGCATAATGCTACCTACTTCCTACTGCTCTTTTTTTACCCTAGCAGCCCTAAATGGAAACTTTCAGCACAGGACTCTCTTCTTCCTTTGCCCCTAGCAAGTTTTATAGCACATTCTATCGAAGAGAATCAAGAAAAACCTCATCACAAAAACAAGGAGAACAGAGAGCTACAACCATCAGAGCAAACCTTCAGTTTTACAGAAAAAAAAACTTCCCTGGAGAAATGACTAACTTAAAGCCACAGCCACCCTTTGCCCATACGCCCAGAAGCTCCATTTAAGCTCAGGCCTGGGTCTTCAGTGTTTGCTCGAGGTATACCTGTTTCATGCCCTGTTTCTAACCTTGCCTCTTTGAAGCTCTTCAAGCCTTTTTGTAAGCAGCCTTATTTCACATTCATTTTCTGTCTCTTTCTTATAGGTTGTCACTTTAGGACCATAGTGTTACTTTTACCGTAGTCCTTCTTCCAGCACCATTTCCCCTTGTTCCTGTATGGATTCATTATGGTGTCCCGACCTGGTTTGTTACTGTAAACTGGCAAACAAGAAACCCCTAAGACTCAATTTGTGAGCATTACGAAGCAGGCATCCTTTATCATCAGCATGGGACACATAGGGAGGATAGCTCCTCTAATCTTGTGTGTGTCCTGTTTTTCGGTCAGCACAGCTAATATTTACTTAAAATTTTACATATTCATCAAATGTCTTACTTATTCACTACTTCTCTCATAAAGTTCAAACATATGTTAATTAGCTCTAAGTTGTTCGGAAGGCCTTGTTTGGTCGCTAGGGGTCTCTGGTGGTCGTTTGGAACTTGAACTTCACTTGGACTTGTCCGTTGAGCAGTGCATTAATTATACAAAGCGTCTTTGTTCAGCATCTCTTATCAAAAACTGGACACTCATGTTGCCACTACTTTAAATAAAACATTCATAAACTTGCTTTTTTCGCAGTTACCCTTACAGAAACTTACATTGCAAACACCCGGGTAAAATTACTGAACAATGGAGAATTACTGCTCTTGGAATTATAGCTCACTCTTCCTGAGACTACCGATTAATCTCGTTATCAGCAGCCAGCTCTGTCTTCCGTGTTCCAGCCACGTGGGGCTGCGCCGCGTCGGTGAGGGCTCTGCCAGTACCGGCTGCCCACAGCCACCGGCATGTTCTCCTCCCTGGAACGGCCTTATTTCTGCTCCCCAGGACTCTCCGAGATCTTTACTCCTGCTCCCTAGCATTCTCCTTTCAGTGACGGAAAGTGGATTACAAGTAGGCTGGTCGGTCTTAGGTGGACTTAAGTCTTCCAGTGCCGTGTGGGCGCTGCCGGGTCCCCAGGCCCTTCTCTTCCCAGACCCTCCTTTTGCACCCTGGGAAAAAGGGTCCCACACTGCGTGAAGGCGGGCGCCGGCACGAAAAAGGTCTTTTCCTCTCTCCCTACCCCGACACCGCGTGCCGCCGCCGCGCCCGAGGCGGTGTCTGCCCGGACCATTCATGGCGGGCGGAGGCGGCGAGCCGGGGCGGCCCGGTGGCCGCGCGCGTTCACGGTTGCGCGCGCCACGCAGCGCAGCCGCGCGCGGGGCAGCGGTGGCGGCAGCGCGAGGCGGCACGATGTCCCGGATGGCATGCATTTGGCGGAAGCGGGGGGGGGGCCGGGTTGCCGGCGACTGTTCCGGCTCGGTGCTCGCCTTCACTGGCCGAGAGCGGCTGCCACAGGGCGCCGCCGCGCGGCCTTCGCCAGAGAGGCGGCGGGCGGTGAGCGGGAACGGGACGCGGAACGGAGCGGGAGGGAGAGGACGGAGAATGGGGCGGTGGGGACGCGTCACTTGCCGCGGCCGGTCTTCGTTTAGAAGGGGGGAGGACCCCGAACGCGGGGACCTCCCTCCTGGACATCTTCACTTACTGGCTGCGGTAAGTGCCTCCCCCGCACCAGCAACCGCGGGGCCGCGCTGGCCCCCGGGGGGCGGGGGCTGCGGGTGCCCCGCAGGCGCTTCCTCCGGCCGCAGGGCCCCGCTCAAGGCCTCTCTGCCCGCAGGTCTCCGGCGGCAGAAGGCAAAGTGGTCCCGAACGGACGGCCAGGCCGAAGGGAAGCCGTTCGCTCCAGCAGCTCAGCGACGGAGGCACGAAGAAGCCCCGGCCAAGAGGCCAGGTGGGGATTTGTGAGCCGGCCGGAAGCTAGGTGCGGGTTGTGTTGGGTGTGTTTTCTCCTTTTTCCCCCCAACTCTTGGGCAATTTTTTTTTGTAGAGTCCAGCGTCAGCAGCTCTTTTGAGGTCCTACAGCAGTTATCAGGGCTTGTGTTGACTGATCTCGGTTTTGGCAGGTCTTTTGCCCATGACATGTAAGATATGTTCATCCTAACTAAGGGTAATCTTTTTATCATCTTATAATTTAGGCACATCAGAGTTTGTGTCCCCTAGAAGGTGTTAGCCATTCATTTTCTCTCCTTAGGCTGAGCCTAGGGAAGGCACTGGGCTGTATTGAGTTTGAAGGTGCTGTTAAGTGGCACCTTCATTACCTCGTCTAGACTGGAGTTCTACTTTCCAAACACTCACTAGGATATCTTAGCAGGATTATACCTACTTGCTTTGGCAACTTCAGATTATGTGTTGCTTTAAATACTGGGTGAAATTGGAATTTAAGAGTATGCAGAGGGCAGGTACTGGGAGGAAGCTACCTTATTGTGGTTTTTTATGTTATTTTTTAGGAACTCTCTTACTAAGATCTTCAAAGAATGATTTTTCATCTTAATTATGTAGGAAAATCGATTTAGGTTTTACAAATGCTTGTACAGTTGTTAAAATACTTATAATTTGACAAAACTCCTGCATGGCTACAATTTATCTAGGTTTATCAGTGTCCTCTGTATTGGTGGACACCATGACCTGTTAGTTGCAGAGCAGTTGCACAGGGTATGCTTGAATTCCAGAGAAATACCAGGCATCCTTATTCACCTGCTGCGTGGGGGAGGTTACTATCCTTTTTTAACTCTCCAGCTTGTGTACTCATTCTATCAAAAAATACAACTCTCTATTGCATTCTGGTATGTGATGAGCTGCATTTTTCCCTTTTACCTGGAACTGTTCTTATATCTTCCCTTAATTACACTGTATGTAAGATGTGTGTATCTAGCAGCAAATTTGCAGAGGATAAGGACTAAATAGGGAGAGGTAGAGACAGAAAGAAAACTGGTCTTCAACTCAAACCATCCTAAAGCTGAATTTGAACTTGCAAATATAGTGTGATCCAAAGTTATTCCTTTTACTCCACATTATTAAAAAGCAATCAGTAACCAGGAAGTAGATTTGGCTAAAACACATTCAAGTGTCTGGGACTGTAGCCACAGAGAGTGGCTCTCTTTTGCAAGCACAAGTCTGTGCTTGTTCAGCAGGTTTCTTTAAACTGAAACTGGTGTGCCGATCCAGTTAATGTTATCTCAGTTTGGGGGGATCTTTCTTTGTGGGCTCTCCTTTTTGGTGATAGAAGTCTGCTCTTAAATGTGTATGTGAGAAAGATAAAATCTACAATTGGTTCTATCCTCTTGCTTACTCATTTTGGAGTAGTTTGCGATATGCTGCTCAAGAAATAAAGTCAGTGTTGTGAACTTCAGTCGTGGTTTAATGACCTTTGTGTATCCTTTACCCTGATACCCACTAGTGCAGGATATAGGTACATGCAAATTGTGAATTAACTTGTCATCAGTGTGTGCTGTCCCATATTTGCAGCTAAAGCAGCAGCTGTTCCCAAAGCAAAAGCAGTTCCTCCGGCCAAGAAGGCAGAGAGCAGCAGTGAGGACTCCAGTGATGATTCAGACTCGGAGGAGGAGGAGAAGCCAACAAAGGTTTGCTTTTCTTTCCAGCCTCTTTGATGCATATTTGACAGTGATAAATAATAGCAAATTTGACCAACAGAATTCTCTCTGAAATTAGGCTCCCTTCTCCTGAACTGTGAAGTGCCTAGGCTGCAGCAGGGTGCAATGCAAGACATTTCTGTAATGGACATTGTACCATTTGGACTGGTCTCAGGAAAAATTAATTTTTTGTCCAGAACCCACTTTGTTTCATATCCAAGTCTGCTCCTGGCTTTTATCCTAAGACTGCTAGGGCTTACTTTTTTGCAGAGAAAGATTTATTTGCAGTTGTTACAATAAATTTGATCTTTTTCTATATATGTGTGTTTATATAGAAAGAGAATCTTCTCTTTCCTTTTTCTTGCTGCAGTCGTGGTCTTGAAAAGTTGGTAGGAGGAAGAATGATATTAGTATACACCAAAGAACACTGACCAGAGTTGCCCAGTTCAGTATTTTCAGTCTTCAAACTAGTGTGATCTGTAGAAGGAACAAGGTGCCAGCCTCAGATCTGCCTCATTTTGAGGAGGCAGAACTCAAGACTGAGGTGCAAAGGAAGCTTCCCATGGGTTTCTGGGAGATTTTCCAGAGCAGAATTGTTATACAGAGATTTTCAGACTTTTACCATTAGGCAGAGTGGTGTTTTCAAATCAAAATAGTAACCTCTTTGAAAGAAAGGTGTTTATATGTGTCCCACTTATTAGCCTCATTTTCTTTTCGTGACTATGAAGGTTAATCAGGTTTTTTTTCCTGTTGTTTAGAAAGGTGCAAAATCTGTGGTGAAACCAGCTGGAACCAAAATCCAGCCTCAGAAGAAAGCAGAGAGTTCCAGCTCTGACTCAAGCAGCTCAGATGAAGAAGCACCAAAGAAACAGCCACCAAAACCAGCAACACCTAAATCGGGTACCTCTTATTGCGTATCACGTGTCAGAGTGATAAAGCAAAACCAGAAAAGCCAGGGGAAGAGTGCTGGGTACTGTATCCGCATGCAAAGGCATATTTATTAACATAGCAGTGTGAAAATCTGCTGTCACTGCCATTTGCACTCCAGTCCACTCTGCTTCTGACATAGAAGAGGGGTAGAACTGATTGCAAATAAAACATCTGGTCCTGAATGCTTCATTGTTTGAATAGGTGACCGTAGTCAGCAGCCTTAACTGCTGGAGTTTTGCTTTTTCCAGTGTCTTCCCCTGAAAAAACAGGGAAGATCTTTACTTAGCCTTTAGTCCTGGAATGTCCCATCAGCTAGAACAGACAGTTTTCAGAAAACTTTCTCTAAGCTTGCAGAACAGTTTTGCAGTACTACCTTAATCTGCTCTGTTGGCTTCCTGTGGTTCTTTTCTCTCTATGATACTTTCTGCTCAATGTAATTATCCTTCATCTGCCATGGCATGTTTTGTAATGTTCCTTTGTACTTCTCTCAAAAGGAAGTAAAGCTGCCCAGGCAGCTACCAAGGTTGTCAATGGAAAAGCAGCAAGCAGTAGCAGCAGTAGTGAAGATTCTGATGAGGAAAAGGCTGCACCAAAAAAGGTAAATTAGGCCATGAAAAACTTCATGGACACTGTAGAAGTCTAGTAAGACTGAATGTATCATCTTGCAAGCACAGACTATAGATGCTGTGCTCAGCATACCTCTTATATCTCCTTCTCCTTTATGCAGTGGGATTATGTGTTCTGTACATACCTCTACTGCTCCATGCACTGCATTCTTTCCTACTAGCTCCTTACTGCTTTTTTTGTTCCATCTTTTAACAGGAAAACATCTCATCGTGTTTTAACCATATCGTATTCTCCATTATATATTCACCTTGGTATGACTTTTTTGTGCTTAACTGACTGTAATTTTGAGTTTTCCACTAAGGAGTATTTAAAAATGTTTTCTTCAACACAAAAATAATCATGTGGGAGTTGCTACCATTTCAGTCAGTTCTGAGCCCCTTTGTCAAGAGCAGCTCTTGATTAGGGGTTCATGCAGCAGAAAACAGTAGAAGAGTGGCCAGAGAGATAATAATGCCCATGTGTTTCCTAAAATTTGTATTTGAGGATATTTATTAATCTCTCTCCCTTTGTCTTCAGAATTTGCTCTCTTAAGTGAAGTGTGGCGTTAAACAAAATCCACATCCAGCTGTCCCCACAAGATGTCTGCAACTTCCTTTTTTTTAATGTTTATTTCTTGTGATAAGGTTGTTCCCAAGAAATCACCTCTGCCGAAACCTGCAGCCGCTAAAGCATGTCCAGGGAAAAACAAACGTGCCAAGGAAAGTTCCAGTAGTGAGGACTCATCTGACAGCTCAGATGATGAAAAGCCACCTGCAAAACAAAAGCCAAAGTCTGGTACGTACTAAATGCCATTGCTGCTGTGTGGGAGGATACTTTCTGCTAGTCCTGCTGTCCTGGGAGAAGTGCATATCGGGCACAGGCAAGCCCTGCTGCACACAAGGTTCCAGGTGCTGGTGGTGGTAACATGAAACAGAGATGCAGCAGCTCTTTTCATGTGTGATGTTTGGGCTGGGCTTACAGTTCAGCTCCTCCCTCAGCAAGGGATGGTGAGTGAGAGACACTGTGGTGCCCTGCTTGGTTTGCCTTTAACTACGTTCTTTGCATGTTTCCTGTCTGCCAAGATGTGGGAAGTAAATATCAAGTGGTTTGATTATTCTGTATCTGCAGCAATTTAAGCTTTTTTAGGGTTCATTTTTTTTGAAGTATCCAGGGCTGTTCAGTTGTAGTCCAGCTGATGGGCTAAATGGACTCTGGTCAGTGTGGTATAATGCTTTTAGGGTTCCAGTAGAGAGCTGGTCTGAGGGGAGTGTCAAATCATCAAAGGTCAGTCTGATACTCTAACCAGAGGATTTGAGAAGGCAGTAAATGAAAACTATGAACAGATGACATATCTCTTCTTTTCTGGAAAAGTTTGGCAACAATCTCCTGTTCTTCTAAAAGTGCAGAGAAAACTTGCACAGAGATGGTTGGGTTAGCTGAACCCCAAGAGGAGAGTTAAACCCACAGTAGAAACAGGGAGGTAGCAGTGGGATGGGTACAGCCTTTCAAATTATAAACTGGTATGTTTGGTTGTAGTTACAGAAGGGGAATAAATGGAACCAAATAGAAGTGCTTTATTCTAACTACAGCAAACATCTCACGTGCTGCTCACATTATCATGCAGGTATCTGAACGCTATGTTTCTCTTCATAGGTCAGTACAGTGCTGTACCACCTCCTCAGGGAACCCAGACAAAGAAAGGCCTTGCCAAGGCTCCTGCAAAAAAGGCTGAGAGCAGTGACTCTTCAGACAGTAGTGATGAGGCAGAGCAGGTGCCCCCAAAGGGAGGAGCAGCAGGTATGTTGTGAGAGGGGGAGGCTGCAGAGGACGTGCTACATGGAGCCAACAGTGTTTTGGCAATGTCCTGGTTTCATTGAAAAGGGCATTTGCCTTTGGTCTGTGTTGCTATTTGCTTTTCTGGAAGCTTCTGATAAATTCGAAGGCCTCCCAAACAACACTGTACAACTCGTGGATCTGAACTGTATGCAGGTTAGATTACTTTATACGTGGTGGTTGGAAAAGTCATCAGGATCTGGTTTAGTGGGCATAAGCCAAGTTCTTGCTTGGCTTCCAATTGCTGGCTGATACACTGAGAAGATACTTGGAGAATATCTGATACACCGAGAATGGAGCTTTTTAACATCTGGGAAGGTTTAGATATTGGGACAAAGGTTTGGTGTGGATGTGGCTGTTAATTTTCAACTTGCTTTTGCAGGCAAAGCCGTAGTAGCTAAAACAATCCCTGGCCCCCAAAACAAAGCTGTGACTAGCAAGAAGGCTAAATCCAGTTCTGACAGTGACTCAGGTAATTCAAGAAATAAAGTTTTCATTCTTCTGTGTTAATGTTTTTATTGGCCAGGTTGCTGTATAGTGATGTATCTGCTGAGATCTTTAGTGTATGGGCTAGCAAGATGTGAAAGTGAAAAGCAGCAGCCTGCTATGCAGAGGGCAGTCTGACCATGAGACAACGAGACCATTGGCAAGCACAGAAAGGTCTTCATATTGCTGGATGGAAAGGGTGGGGAATCACATATCAGGTTTCTCGAGGAAGGTTAATGGTTAAACGTTTTGAGGATCTGTGTCTTAAGGTTTTTGGTTTCTGTTATCCCATTGTGTTTGGGAGAAGTTTCTGAGATAAAAATGTAACCACCATACGAAGTTCGAAATAGACTCAGAAGATGCCTTCTCCTCATGTGACCCTAGAAATGGGGACAGTGTGCTTTGTAGCTCCTGTTCATCAGCTCAGAGGTTTGCAGGGCTGTATTTCCCATGTAAATTCCCTATGTGCTACATTTCTCCTCCAAGTTCAAGGTGCTCCTGTTGTGTATCTTAACATCTCTGGTGCCACAGCAGGGACTGTGGGTGGCAGATGCCTGTCTGTTGTGAACAGTTAGCAGTAGATTGTGTGACACTGCAGTGAGTGTCAGGCGTTGTGTTCTCTGGTTTTGTTGCCTAGTTTCTATCAAAATAGTCAAGTTTTTGGTTGCTGTTAATAAAGTTTTCAGAAATACTGGAAAAGATCAGGTTTAGTATTCCAGAGTCCTGTAACACACAATACAAAGCTGTATTTGTACTCAGGAGTCTCCAGTCCATCCTTGGACTGCTGCTAAACTCATCTCATACAGGAAGTAGTTAAAATGAGATACTGTGCTGTCACTGCCTCTCTTTGAATGCTTTGTAAACTTTATCTCCTAGTTTCTTGTATGTTTTTTGATCCTTACTACACATCTTCTTTTCCCAGTGTTTCTTCTTCCTGAGTTTAGTCTTGGTGGTACTGGTACTTTCTCCAGTCCCTTATTCTGTACCTCTTCTCCTACATTAATCTCCAGATATCTTCTTCCTTGTGCATGTATTTGTGAAGAACTTAAACTGTTTGTTTTCACTTCCTCCCAACAAAGCCAAAACCATTCAAGTGTTCATCAAATGCTGCTGGTTGCTAGTTGCCTAGTGGCTCAGCCTTGAGCCACAAGCCATTTTGCTTTTCACTTCCCTGTGAGTTATATACATGTTATTACTAAAGTAGCTTACACATGAATCCTGCTAACTTAAAAAACATTTTTTTTTGTTAGATTCCAGCTCTGAAGATGACAAAAAGAAGGCAGGGAGTAAACTCCCAGCTAAACCACCTGTGATAAAGAATACTTCCAAACAAGCAAAAGTAGTTGTCAAGCCTGGACAAGCAAAGAAAGACTCCAGTTCTTCCTCAGACAGCTCAGGTATTGGGGTAGGAGAAAAGGAGAATTTCTACATGCATGTTGATCTAGCTCAGACCTCTGTGTTTCTACGCAGGGTAGGAGGTTGTGGTTGGACAGGAATACCCATTACAGTGTTGTTTCAAACACTTTGCAACGTGTATCAACATGAAATCTGTATGTTAGCTTTGTGTTGAAGGAATGGGACTTAACCTGATTGTTTTTTCTTTTCTTTCCATTCTAGATTCTGATAGTTCTGACAAGAAGGCAGCTCCTGTGAAGCCCACAACTAAAGCAGCAACCCCTGCAGCAAAGAAGTCACAAGCTGCCACAAAGAAAGCCCAAAGCAGCTCTGATTCAGATAGCAGCTCCAGCAGTTCTGAGGATGAGAAGGAAAAGAAGAAAGCCCCTCCAGCTAAATTAGCTGGCAAAGTGGCTAAGCCAGTGTCCAAACCTTCTACTCCAGCTTCCAAAGCAGACACATCTGACTCTGATAGCTCAAGCAGTGAAGAAGAAAAGAAGCCGGCAGTGAAACCAGCCACTAAATCTACAGGGGCAGCAAAAGCAACTGTAGGGAAGAAGGCAGCTGCTTCTAGTAGTAGCAGCAGCTCATCAGATAGTTCCAGTGAAGAGGATGGGAAGCCCAAAAAGGTGGCAAAAGGGGTACAGAATGGTTCTAAGGCCACTGCCTCCACAGAGAAAGCAAAAGCATCCTCAACAGCAGCAAACAACATGAAGTCTAAGCCAGCTGGTGGCAGTAGTAGTAGCAGTGAAAGCAGCTCTGAAGAAGAAACCGGAAAAGTTAATGGAGGTATTATTACCTGCAGTCTGGGAAGTGGGTCTGTCAGACAGTGTTACTGAGCCAAACATGAATGGAAGACTTTCTTAAACAATATTCAGTCCAATCTCTGTTACTGGATTATGCCATTTGGTGCAGTGCTGAGAGGGAAGGGCTAGTTTTGCATTCGATGGAATCCTTTTTGTCTGTATTGCATAGCTGCTGGCAGTAGAATTTGTGGTAATGCTGAAGCACATTTCTGTATAGCTGTTGCCAGTTGCCATCTGTGCATGCACAAGATTTAGTGACAGCAAAGTGGACTGCTGGAGGACCTTGTCCATGTGGAGTGGGACACCACAGTTGATGCCGCAATGCGCAATCTCAATCTTTAACCCTCCAGGAGGAAAACTAGTGATGCCCTAATGATGTGTGCAAGTGCATATGGTATGACTCCAAAACCTGGCAAACTTTGACCAACAGAATTCTCTCAAGTATGCAAAATCATTAATATACAGGTACCCTATTCCATAAAATTATTTTTATCCCTTAGGATAGGATGGGAAGATCCTTGCTGACCCAAAATGGCTTTTAGTGTCTGGTACAGCAGTCTGTTTTCTGGGTGAAGTAATGCAGAGACCAATTCTCACATCTATGTCAACATTGGGTTAGCTTACTGGGGGAGGGATGCCATTACCTTTCCCAACACTGCAGTTACTCCCTTTAAAGTTTTGCTGCTGTACATCTAACAGGTTCAATCGGGAAGAAACAGAAGAGGGAAGATGTTCAGGAGCCAGAGACACCACACAGTAAAAAAGCAAAGGTCAAAGCCAAAACACCACACACAGTTCCCAAGGTGAAACGGGTAAGTGAGGGTGGACTGTGGCAACTGGCCAAAGAGGCATCTGTCTCCTAAACAACTAGGATTGCTTGGGGATTTTGTGGGAGGTTGGGCCACAGAATTATTTGTATTTTTATTCCTTCTTCAAGCACTTAAACCTTGTCTGGAGAACCCTAGGGGGAGTGCACATATGTGCATAGTATTATTTTGGCAAAAGTTGCTTGGATATGCTTGCACAGGAGCATCCCTGAGCTGCCTGATCTGAAGAAGGGAAAGAACCATGAATCTGAGAAACACTAAAAGATTGAGGTGATGTGAACAGGGCCACCTATTTGCAGGGCAAGGAAGGAGGTTGTCAGTAAGAGAATGTTGTGTGTTTGCATGTACTTACTGTCTCATTTTCTTTCTCAACAGCCAGCCTCTCCATTCCGCCGTGTAAGGGAAGAAGAGATTGAGGTGGATGCCCGTTTTGCTGATAACTCATTTGAAGCAAAGGTAGGGCTTGGTAGTGTCCAGAGTGGTAACACTCAGTCTCTGAAAGCACGTCAGCAGAGCAGCCTTGGTGTGGGGAGTGTTTCTGGTGAGAACTTTTTCCACCAGGAGGAGCTGTTAAGAAGCATGTGAGCAGTGGCAGGAGGTGCATGAGAGAGCGGTATCAGCTCCAGTGTTAATGTACTAGTGTTCGCTGGGTAGGGTAAATTGCAAAGCATTGCCTTTACTCTCTTGGGTACCGACTTGAATTTCTTTTTTCTTCTCCCCCCTCATCCCTCACAGAAAGGAGCAGCTGGTGACTGGGGTGAGAAGGCTAACAATATCCTGAAATACACTAAAGGCAAATCTTTCCGCCATGAGAAGACAAAGAAAAAACGAGGCAGCTACCGCGGGGGCACTATATCGACCCAAGTCAATTCTGTCAAGTTTGAAAGTGACTGAGAATGTTTCCTTTGGAATTCATAAACCATCTGCTCATCAGAACATCTTGGATGGGCATGTGAACATTATGGATATCAAGCCTGCCTGGAACGCTACCTCCCCTAGTAGCATGGTACAGGCAGCTTCAGTATAGGGATGTGGGAGAATGGCTGGATGTTTCCCCCTTTTATTTCTAATTTTGGTTTAGTCTCCTAATTTGGAACCATCCTTGAGCTGGTGTTACTAGCACCACCAGGGTGACCTCCAAGGCTTATATTTTCTACAGTCTTATTTTAAAAGGCTGGCAATGATTTTTGGTTTTGGTTTCCTGCCCAACTAATAGAAGAAAGAGAAATCATTCTCCTGTATTTTAACCTCCCATTTCTTTTTCAGCCAGTTTAAATCTGATACCTGTGAAAAGGCAAGTATTGTAACTTGCCTTTGATTAGTTACTGTAAGAACAACTGATTTGAGCCCTTTGGCTGTAATCCCCAACCCCACCTGACATTTCAAATTCACACTTGCAGTGTGACAGAGTTCCTCTTTTCTGTGTTCTTTTATGGTTTTACCTTGTAATAAATACCTACCTTCCTCTTCCTTGCACTCCTGTTGAGGCTACTAACCAGAGTACTTGGAGAAGCAGCATCTAAATACATCTTAGTGGTTGAATAACAGTATTGCTTGCAGTTGCAAGGTGGGGGGCAGAAAGACCAAGGTCTATAATACAGCTGTGGAAATCTTGTCAACACTTCCATTAGGAGTGTAGCTGGGGAGTGGAGTTGTGAAGAAACTTGACTGCATGGATGTTTCACTTGGTGGGATCAGGTAGGGAGGCAGAGGAGATAAAGCCCTCTTTCCAGCTCTGCTTTTTGCTGTGTTTTTGTTTCAGAGACTCTGACTGCAGTGGCATTACTCCTTGTTCTCTCTGAACATACAATGTGCCAGCTTATGCTTATTGCCAGCAGTGTGAGCTGCAGCGTGGTAGGAGTCAAGATGAATGTATCATTAATGCCTTAAATTTCTTTTCTGGGTTGGATCACTTGCTCTTTGAGCTGTTTTCCATCTGTTAAATCCCTCTTGAGAAGTAAAATGCCAGCTTCCCTTAGCACTAAGGCAAATAAAGCCTGGTGTGGTAAGGTTTGAAGTGTTAGCTACAAGTACATGTTCAGTATGGGGAGCCAAAAGTTCAGAAACTTGCAGCCAAAACTGAGACTAGTTGAGGCTTACTGCTGGTGAGGGGCAGGCTTGCTTTCCATCCAGTTGTGTCACTGCCTCCTTACGGTGCAGCTTATATTTGGTTCCCCCAAATACTTTGCCTCCTATTAGGGGGTTCAGGTTAACTAGTTTGTGGAGCAGTTGGCTGAGCCCACAGCCAGTGTGAGTTTAACAATGGTACTACATGTTTGGGAAACGGAGTAGTGGGCTGTGGTGAAGCTGCCAGCTGCTGAGAGTGCGGGGCCTGATTTCCATGTTTCCATTCCCTCCCTAAAGGCTGCCAATGAGAGCAGCCTTCTTACAGGAAGCTACATTAGTGTGCAAAGCAGTGTCGCCTAATTGAGGGTTGGATGAGACTTGATGAGCCACCCCCATGTACATGAGCAGCAGCTTTTTCCAAATGAGCCTTTTTCATGTCTTCCCCTCTGGCTTGCACAATCACTGTGGTGCCTGGATTCAAGGCTACAGTGCAGAGGGGCCCAGGAGACCGTGGTTATTTAAAGAAAATAAAGGTTATAGGCCAAAGGAAGGTGGGAAGAGTATTTTCTACGTAAGGACTTAAACGTCATCTTGTGTGTCATTTGCCCTCTTTTTTTCTGTTTATCCGGAACTTATATTTGGAACTCTTTTAAATACTTTTATGCTTTGGAGTTTTTAAAAAAGTCTAAAGTGTGAATTTGATGTGTCAAAAAATAAAGATTGCTGCCTTTGTAGTCTGAGTGGATCTGGTAGTTAAAGACAGAGAATGGTGGGTGGGAAAAGGGAGGGTATCAGTGCTGGGGGTAACAGCACTGTCTACATCCATTTGTCTTATTTACATGATTGTGGTCATGTGACAGACCTTCAGAAGTGAAAGGGGGCCTCTGCAGCTGTCTGTTGAGTGCAAGGAGTTTGGATAAAATTCTAGAAGAGTATTTGTGTATACCAAGATAAACTGAGGATGCTCAAGTCCCTTTCCACTAGAGTATTGAGTTAGTTCTCAAATATTGCTGCCAAATTAGCAGTATGGCAGCTGGCCTTATAAGAAGCACCAGCATATGGAATAAGAAAGAATAGGCATAACTGAAAAATCCTGTATATACCAGGTTAAAATAAGTAATTTCTGTAACCTCGTGGATTTCTTCCTCCTCTGTGATCATGTATGCAAGGAAAAGAAACATGCTAATAGGTAGGGCCTTGTGGAGATCTTGAGTGCTGTAATGCTCAATTTTGCTCCTTGTGCTGTACCTCTATGGAAAGGTTGGGGTGAATCACCAGGTCCATCAGGCACTCAGTTGCTCTGTAACCAATGGTCTTTGCCACAGCCTTCCACCTTGAACATAATGTTGTAGGAGAAGGTGTAACCCTAGCTGAAGTTTCAGCAGAGGATGCAGAGAATGTCATTAGCCTCGCTGGAGATCAGCACCTGACTACGCAAGAGCAACAAGTTCTGGGGTGGGAAATGGTCTGTGAGACTCAAAGTTATGCACTTGACACTCCTGGGAAAAACTGCTCCTTTCACAAGATTTTGCAGCTGCTAGGCAGGCTTAACCTACATCCCTACTCTCTGCTGCTGTCCTGGTGTAGAGGAGTACTTTCTTTTCCCTGTGCAACACTGGTGAAGTTTCAGCTGTGGTTAGTGCTGGAACTGGATCAACAGGTCTTCCCCATCTGGTGTGTCCCTGTATGGGTACCCTGGAACACTGTCCCTCACATCGCAATTCCTCTGTGCACCATCATTTCCCTTTTGCTGTCCAGACTAAGGTGTTCCTGTTTCTCTCCTCTCACGGGGGTCCTGGCCCTGGGGGTGTCCGAGTAGGGCCCAGGAGAGGTCACTGGAGAGATACTCTGACCCTTTAGGCGCACTGGCCTGGCCGGGGGCACAAGTGGCAGCTGACGGGCGCTGCCCCTCTGCCTGCTCGAGCTGCCGGGGCGGCAGGTGCGGGTCTCCGTGTCCCCGGCCCCTTGCTCGCCCTGACTCCGTGCCACAACGCCGGGCTCGGCTCGGCTCGGCTCTGCCCGGGGTGCGGCCCGTGGGCCGGGGCTGCACCGCCCGGCCCCGCCCGCGCCCGGCGGCCTGAAAAGGGGAAGCGGGCGGGCGGCGGGCATCCCTCCCTCCTTCCCTCCCCTTCCCGCGCCGCCCGCCTCAGTTCGGCCGCGCTCCAGCGGGACTCGCTGCAGGGGGGGCCGGCCACCACGCGGAGGGCCCGGCGGGCGCCCGAGAGAGCCGTCCCGGGCAGGAGCTGCGGCCTCTACTCCTCGCCCCGTCCACACCAGGCGGCTTCTCAGCCCCGCAGCTGCCGGCGCTGCCCGCCGCCGCCCCGTGCTGCCCGAGTGCCGTGCGGGCGAGGCCCTTCCACCCCGCGGGGCCGGCGGTGTGCGGCAGGGGGCTCGGTGTGAGCGGAGGGCGGTGGGTGCCAGCCTTGCTCCGGGTCAGCGCTGCGGGGCTGGGCTGCCCTTCCTGGGCTGATGGCAGAGGTACCCGAGCACTGCCCAGGGACGAGGGCAGGGAAGCGGTCCGAATTCCCGGCTGCCAGCCTGGCCCCGGCTCACCCGGACGCCTGTGCGCAGGCTGGGTCCCTTCAGAGAGGCAGCTGATGGGCGCGAGTTAGGCAGCTGCTTCAATGCGTAGGGCCAGAGCCTTGGCAGGTTCAGAGCGCTTTTGTGTAACTTGCTTCATCTTCCCGTAGGAGATTACATCTCAGGAACGTCTTCCCTCTCCTGTTCTGCCTCCTCTTCCTATGCATCCCTCTTCAACCTTTGTTTATTGCAGCTCAACCAGATCTCATTCCTCTGGTGTGCTCAGAGCCAAGGAGCTCTAAGCTTTGGTTGTGGGCTTTTTTTGTTGTTTTGTTGCTTGTTTTTTTTTTTTTTTTTTTTTTTTACATGAGGGCGTCAATTGTTTCATTGAAGATAAGACTCACTCCTAGCTTCTCCTATACCTTTGTCAAATGTGATCAGACTTGTCTGTCAGGACTTTATCAGTCCCCAGTGCTTTCTACACAAGATTTCACAACCTTCTGGGGTGTTTAATAATTTTTCTTTTAACATGGTGCTTCTGTGCAGAAAGAATCTGAAATGAAAGGGCAGTAAATAGGGAGACTTTTCCTCCCCACTTCTCTTTACTGTTTCTCTAAATTTTGGTCCACTTGTATCTCTCCAGTTTTCTCTGCAATCTGAAGAACTTCTTCAACTTGACTGTGCAGATATAACTCCTTCTTAAGACCAAAAAGTGCACTGCACTGTCATGTGCCCTCACTTTGAGGTCTATAGCTCATCTGACTATTTGGATATGGCTCCAAGCTGTTCTGTCTCTTGCATCCAGGGATTACAAATTATGTTCTGATGTGCTGCCACGCTACAGACTTCAGACCACTCACGTATCAGCTGCTGGTCTTGCAACTGTGTTGCAAGTGAGAGGAAAAGGTCATCCGGAAGAACTTGCTATTGCAGGGCACCCTGGTGTCAAAAACCATCTCTGTTCCTTTCAGAAGACAAACAGGAAGCCTCTGGATATGGAATGAGGGAAATCTCACCACCTAGACAGACTTAATGTATGATGAGAGGCTAAGTGGGGAAGCAGATGTGTGGTGCTTGACACCATTCCCCAGGTCAAGTTCTTGAAGATGTGTGTAGTTTCAAGTGCTGCAACAAGCTGAGATATAGAGCTTTATTTTTTTTTCTCAGTTGTTATGGACCAGTATTGCCTTTAATACTGTGGTTCCTTAGCAGTGATCTATGGAATGCCAGCCTCCTGCTAGCCCACAGATTCCCACCTTGCCAGTTCTCCATATAACTCTAAAGAGATAGGAAGGATGTTGAAAATGGTCCAAGGTCCCAAAAGTTTGGAACTGATTTGGAACATCAATCTTTGTCCAAAACAGATGAGCCAGAGCACTTCTGATGCTGTTTTGTGGCAGCAGTAGCACCAATGTGGTGCAAAGTATGGATTATTCTGATGCTGACTTGATCACTGCTGTGGTTGTTCCCTTTGGTCCTTTGGGGATCTGGACTTTTTTCATTCTCTGTATTTGTAATGGGCTGCCATGAATATGTAGAAAGAAAAATGTTAAAAAGGTAGGGTGCTTTGAACAGACCACCTGTGCATTATTCACTCTGTGCAAACAATATTTTAAAAAACTCAGGATTGTAGCCTGCCAAGGGTTGCTTACATTTGAGGGGGGGGTTTCTTGCTCATTTTTTCTATACTAAAATATTAATACTAATATTGGTAAACTGTAATACTAATATTACTATACTATAACAATAATATTAGTGTTTTAATGTTAGTGTTATTTACCCAGGTGACTCTGATGAAGCAGGAGTCTGTGATAAACCAAAACAAGAGCCTAGAAACTCACCAAGCACTGGGCTGGATATGATTTATGGTTAGACTGTTCTGCTTTAACCTATGCTTTATTAAGTTTACTTTGCACAGTATTGTATCTTTTAGGTTTTTATTAAAGATTCCCCTGGGCAGCTCATGCTTGTAGTGCAACATCTTCCTGCAGTGACAAAACTGCTCTGGGAGCTGCATACCTGCCTGCTTGCATGGAGTCTTGGCTTCCATAAATTAGCCACAACTAGGTTGGCTGCCATCAACTTGATAGTAGCAGATGGTCCTGGTTTTTCCTGATCATACTCAACAGAACAGGCAAACTTTAGTGTCTTATTCCAGGAAGAGCTTTGAGCTTCTGAGGGAAGCTGTCTTTTGCTTTTAAATGAATTCTGCTGCTTTGTTAACTCCTGAGAAGTTTGCAGTGAAAACATTTCTTACTATGGGCAAAAGCTGCATAGAGACTAGGATGCAGGAGGGGAAATAATTCAGCCCCATGGGTATGGGCTTCCAGGTCCTAGGCAGGAACAGGGTAATACAAAATACTGTTGAAAGGGAGAGATGTAAACCACTGAGTCCTTGCACTTGAACCTATTCATTGCCCTTTCTTTGTGGAGTTCTCTGCCTAGACTGCTTGCTGTCAGAGGTTTTAGTACTTCAACCTTATAAAAGGCACCTGAATTAAATTAGAGCTGTAGCTGTTCAGTTATTTCACTTTAATTAATTGATGTAGTTTTTCATCAATACCAAGTTGTAATCTGTCAAACATGTTAAACAGGGCAAAATCATGGGGCAAATTTCAGCCTGGTAAGAGGTTTCAGAGGGCTGCACTCTCTCTGCTCTGTTTCTGCTGCCTCCCATTTCGATGTCAATGCATTGCTATGGCTTCGAAAGCCAACTCCCGGCAGCTGAGTGTAGCCAGGTATGCGGAGCAGGGGGGGATGCTGCTGCCGCCCGCAGCGGCAGTCTCACTTCCCCCTGCGGCAGGCTCTGGTTCTGCTCTTATTGAGGTGTCTGCTCTGCTCCACTCCGCGTGCTGCAGCGGTGAAACAAAGCCTGTGTGGCACGGGCGTTTCTGACAGTTCCCTTGAAGCCTGACTCTGGCTGCCAGTGTTAACTGTGATGTCAGGGGATTGCTCTGCATAAATCACCCAGTTGGTGTGGCTCCACCAACCGTTTTCACGAAAATAGGGAAGGGTCTGTCTTTACAAGCCTTCTCCTTGCAGTGACAGGGTTATTTTTGCAATATTTATGTGATTTAGCCATTAGCCCAGGACTTCCAGATCACAAACAAGGAGGTGGTTCTGTCTACTCTGCTCTCAGGTCTAGTGTAGGATCTGTCATTTATTTGGATTTTGCACCTCTGTCAAAGCACAGGTTGTGAATTCACCTCCCCACAGAATGCCGGATTTTTTGAAGGTTTCTGTTGAAGATTATCTGCCTGCAGCCCGCAGTGGGTACAGGCAGCTGAGGTCCCATAGCCAGAGAGCTGGGCTGAGGCAGTGCTCCGTGCTATGGATGGTGCTGCACTGACCACACCACCCACCACAGCACCTGCCCCTGCTGGAGGACCCTGCTGGAAAGCTCGTGGAGCAGTTTCGTTGTTCGGTGTCAGTAAGGTAAAGCAGGGAGGTGAGCAGGTAGAATTTGAGCCTTCCCTCATCTGGGCCATTTAGCCCTTGTCTAGGTCTGGGACTTCTTTACCCTTTACTATCAACCTGAGATCATAACAGTGACTGGCTGCTGAACAAGGGACAGAGAGCAGAGTACTGCCTTTTGTGCTGGTAGCTATGCCTTCATTATATCCCAGGAGCACTAAAAATCAGGGATGTGCCTGGTGTATCCAGCACAGCACTAGGACTGAAGCTGTGGCCAGGATACCTCTCTGGGCATGGACAGAGCAGAGATTATCTCTGGTGGTATTGAGCTGGGGTAGGAAAAGAGGTCTCTTCCTGCAGCCTGGCATCCTCTTGCCACTTAGGAAGATTTACGGCCTCCCTTGTTGCCTGGCAAGGAGAAGAGATTCCTGAGCCAGCACCTTCAGGGATTCCTCCTGATGTTGGAAGGGATGTTTGCAGGTCTTGCTGTGTCAGCATCTGCCCCTGACCTAAGGGCTGAGATTGACATTTGGATTTTTGTAGCCCCCCCAGAGGGTCCTGGCTGAGCTGAGGGTCACAGCAACGCCTGGCACATAGGTCCATGGTAGAATATGGTTCTTGCTGAAAATGGGTGACAATTTTTTTCTTTAAATAACTATTCCTTTCACCTGCACTATTTCTTCACCTTTACTTGTTGCCCAATGAGAAAACACCCTATCCCACACATAAAACCTCTTCTACTTTTCTCAGCATACTTCTGTGTGTGTATGACCCACGGGGTGCCCCAGGACAAGCCTATACCCGCTCCTGTCCTGAGCTCCCTGCCATCCTTGAGAAGACCAGGAGTACGTGGCTGCCATTCTTCCCTCATTGCCTGGAAGCAGCATGTGCTCTTGATCTTCTGCACAACGTCATAGCCAAATGCATTACCTTCCCTGGCGTTGAGAAAGATAAATTCCCTCTGGGCCTCTCAAGTAAGCTGAGAACTGGACCAGTTTTGTGGGCTGTAGCTCTGTTGTGACCAACACTTTGTCACAGGCCAGCCTGTTCCCACTGGTAGGGAGGCAGGATGCTGGGCAGATCCTTACTTTCCTTGTAGAGCTTTTGCTCTCTTCTCTCCAGCCCATCACCTTTGTCTCCATTCTCCCAGAGCTCTTGCTCTGTGGGTTCAACCACCCCCTTGGTATTTGTTAGTGTTTCTCATGTTTCTTACCACTCCTGCAGGCACAGCCACACGGTTGACCCTGGGTGGGAAGGGTGGGAGTCCCAAGCACTGGTAAGAGTTGCCTCTGAAACAGGGGAGGGGCCCAATCAGCAGCTGCTGTTTCTTTCTCCCATGTCCGGTCCTCACATGGGACAGGAAAGCAATGGAGGAGGAATAGGGCACTTTTACCCTCCCACGTCTGCACCTTTACTGCTTAGTTTGCCTAGATAGCCCAGCTGCTGAGGGTCATCTGAAGATTGTATTTAGCGGGATCTTGTCTGTGACTTCCTTTCCCACCTCTTAATTGATCAAGCACTCCTGGAGAAGCTTGATCTTCTGCCAGAAAATCTTGTACCAAATCCTACTCTACCATGTCCCTGATGGCCCCCGGGGCTTAGTGTGCGGGGCCATCCAAAATCCACTTCTAATTGTTCCCATTGTAACATCTTCCCCTTCCCCCCCCACTTCCTAGCATGTCTGAACTGGGTCCTCAGAAAACGACTCTGCTTCTGACTATTCCCAAATAATTATCATGTAATTCTTCTCCCAAAATAATGTTAGGTGTGGGTGAGGCGCGTTCGCTTCCAGTGATGTAGCAACATCCCTTACACAACAGAAATGTTGGGTGTTTCACCAAACTGAGGAGGGGATGACAGCTTTAGGAGCGTGACTAAGGGGCGTCAGTGTGCCACGGGTGTTGCGTGTTATCTCTGGGGTTGCTTTCTGGGTTTGCCTCTTTCCAGTGGATGGGTATCATGGTGCCTGCTTTCTCTTCCCAGCCCTTTCCCTGGAGCCTCCCATGACTGATCCACAGTAGAGCAGCTGTTTGTCCAGACCCCTGCTGTGCTCTCAGGGATTGTGGTTCCTCTGACCAGGTCCTGCTGTGACCTGGATTTGCTCCTGCCCTGTCTATGCTGAGCAGGGTGCCTTGCCAGCCATGTGAGGGCCAAAGCCAGAGCGTACCTCTCGGCATTCCCATCAAGCTCTGCAGATCCTTCTGAGAGTTTGCACAGACATCAAGGGCTGAGGGAACCAGCTGTTCTGGCTGGACAGAAATAGAAATGAAATCCAGCTGAGCTGGTTCTGTAGCGGTAACCAGAGACTAAGCAGCAAGTGTCCCTGCTGGTGCTATAACCCAGCAGAGCTTCTCCAGCCACTCTAACTCTCTGCAAGCCAGTCTGCTAGTTTCTGAGTCTTAGGAGCACAGAGAAGAGGTTTTCTGGAAAACTCTCTTCATACACCTTGATATCTAACTTTAGTTGTTGGTTGGGCTTTTTTTTGTGTTTTTTTTTTTTTTTCAGGGGAAGGTGGGGTGGATGGGGATGGATGTTCCCCAGTGAAGAACTCCAGACTGCTCTCCTCTCCCAGATAATGAGCTGCTGGCTTGCAGCTGTAATCACAGCTGTTAGTTGCCCAAGTGCAGGACAGAGCATTTCATACTACATAATGGCATGCTTCTCTCCTTGCAGTGATGAAGATGATGAAGGTGCTACTGTGGCCCGCTGCTCTTTTTCTAGTGACTGCATTCACTCTGGAGCCATCTCACTGTGCCAAGGTGCTGATCATGCCCACCATAGTCTTTGACAGCCACTTGCGAGTCTTCATGAGAGTGGCAGAGGCACTGACTGATCGGGGCCACGACCCCGTGCTACTCCTTCATGAAGGTCGGGACATGGAAACCTATCTGCCTGCCTTCCGTGTGCAGAGGTACTGGGGCATCTTCAGCACAGAGAACGCAGATGAGTGGGTGCAGGAGAAGATAAAGCGTGTCTTTCAAGGGAGGATGACTTCTCTGGAGATGTTTTCTTTTCTGGAGAAGTACCTGGAAAACTGTGACCTAGTACTGGGAAACTCTACCCTTCTGCAGAAACTCCAGTGTGAGCGCTTTGACCTGCTCTTGGTGGACCCCAATGAGATGTGTGGATTTATCCTGGCTCACATCCTACGTGTCAAATATGCTGTGATTTCCACAGGTTTCTGGTTCCCAGCAGAGATTGGGGCCACTTCCCCCATTGCCTATGTCCCTGAATTCAATTCCCTGATGACAGACAGGATGGGCTTCTTTGGTAGGACTTGGAATCTTCTAGTCTACATGATCACTCGCGTGGCTACAAAGCTGGTCATCCTGCCCAAGTTTGAACGTCTCATGGAGAAGCATAGGGTGGAGCCCAAGACATCCATGTTGGACCTTGTTCATGGAACTAGTCTTTTCTTCCTGTGTAATGATGTGGTGTTAGACTTTCCCCGTCCAACACTCCCCCATGTCATTTTCACAGGGGGCATCCTCGCTGAACCTGCAAAGCCCCTTCCAGTGGTAAGTGCAGGAAAGCTTTGAGCTATGATTGGACATCAACTGAGGGAGTTATTCAGTACAGATCTTTTGAAGAACCTTGTAAAAGTGCTAATGTCCCAGGAGTCTGGAAAGCTGCTGTGTTTTGGTGCTTGTGGGTGCATCAGGGGGACAGAGAACACTGAAGGCTGTCTGGCTGCAGGGGGGATGTAGAATTAAGTTGTCCACTCTGAAGTGGGATTTGGCTTCACCATCCAAGTAAAGTGGTGTGTGGAATTCCTAAGATGGAAGTGTTGCTCCTGGGATTTGATTATGAGTAGTTTGTTTGCTCCTATGCTGAAGCGGAAATGGGAAGAACAGTTAATCTTCCTTGCTTCATCACTGATATATGTTAATCCAGAATTTCCTCCTTCACCCTATTTCTCTCAGGGCATTTCTGCCCTTGAGCTTGTAGTCATAAGAACGCATAGGGGAGAGCTGTCCTTGTTCCCTCATCAAATTCCATGCGGAATCCCAAAGCGTACTAAACTGAGGGGCATCATCCCCTTTTTCTCAAGGTTCAGCCCTAAGAGAACTCCTCAGGCATCCCAGAGGCTTTCTCTGGCCTATACCTCACTAGTGCAAATAATAAATTCAGAGGGATGAGCTCTGAAAGCCTCCACCTGAAGACAGTATTGGAACAGAGCAGGACCTGTCTGCCATTCCTCTTTTTGCCTTACCACTTTTACAAACACTGGGGGGAAATAAACCTAGATAATAAAACTTGAGCAGCAAAGCTGTCCTGGTTTCCTGACTAAGGGCCTGAAATGATGACAAGGTTTCAACTTCCAAATTATTAAAGGCCTGTTAGGATCTCTGATGGCAGCTTTAATTGATGCCAATATTTTTCAGTTAAAAAGGAAAAGTAAGATCAGGTGCCTTAGAAAAGAAGTTCTCCAGATGTGTATGCACATCAGCCTTTCCCATGTGGCATGGCATGCAGGTAATGAAAGGCACACAGGGTGCTCCCAAAGCTGTGTCAGAGAGCTCTGTGTCACAGCTCTTGCAAAACATCGGCTTGGTCCAATCTGCCTGCGTACATACCTGCCTTATAAAGAAGGGAGTAGTTTGCTAGGGCATTACTCATGTGCTTCACAGCTTCCAGGACAGATCCTAGGGAGCCTAAGGAAAGAATTATGGAGATAAGTCCAGAGCCCCGCAGTAGGTGGTGGCTGTCATGCTAGCAGGTAGGCATGTCTGTGTCCAGGTTACAGGAACCAACAGAAGAGAGGGCCTCTGTAGGTCTAGGTGTAGCTTAAAGAATGTCTCATCTGAACTGGAGCATTATGCAATTAAAGTATTTATTTCCTCCTATTTGAAACACTATGATTTTTGAGTTCTTCTAACTAGGATATGGTGAAATACAGGTATGTATTTGAGAGATAGTGAGAATGTTTGGTGGTCAACCATGTTTCCCTAGCAACTTTAATGCTGTTTCTGAAAGTCAAATGTTAAGGTCCAATTATAATGGATAACACAATCATCTGTTTTGTGAGTCATTGTACTTTTATTTAGAAAAGTAAAATTAGCACTTTCTCTTCTGTAGCAGTTTCAGTGGTTGTACTTCTCAAAGCATGTGAAACTCGAGAATGGAGAAACCAAAAATCTCTCAGTTGTAAACCTTTTGATTCTTGGATTGTTTTAGGGCATTTTAAGCATTTCTGCAAAGATAGGCTCGAGCTCCTGAAGCATACAACAAAGGAAAAATATCACCAGAGAGTAACACTAAAATGTGCTTTTTAACTCTTCTGTACAATGATCCCCTAACCTATAGACTGCTATTAACATTCTGAATTAATCACTTTATTTTTCTCTTCTTTTTTTTTTTTTTGCCATTCATGTTCTCTTACATGCTTATTTCAAGGAAGTATTCATATTCAAAGACAGATTTTATTAAACCTCCCTAAAATGCTGCTGGCTGGGATACATGGGAAACCTGAAGCAGGACAGAATCCATAATGAGAAATAGGCTCAGCCCAGCCTGACATAAAAGGGAATAGTCTATGTTTGCTCCACAGCAGATGTGGTAGCTGATTTCTCCCTGCTGCCTTTTGGCCTTGGTTGCAAAAACTACAGGCTCTGTTCTAGATATACATCTGTTTATGTAGCATTGCAGGTAGCCTCTAAATGAAGGACACATAACTGTGGTTTTTACTGGATCTGTAGCTACCTCTCTGCCTAGTGATCAAAAACTAAATCTTCTGCTTGCAAGTAGCTATCAAGGATGGGTAGAAGTCTCCTGGCAAGATAGCAAAGCCACCTGCCACCTCCAGGAGCCTTTGATAGAGTTTGAGCATTGGAGAGTTTGTGGGGAATCTCAGCAAGATGTTGTTCCTGACTGTTTTGTCTGTTATATTGGTCTCCTGTCTTAGTGGTGATGGGAAAATGGCCTCCCTCTTTTTAGTCCAATTTTCTTGTCTGCTCAGATTTTTCTATGTGCCCTATGTTTTCAGAACTTTTCTTGTCAAAGGGTAATTGTGTTGCCTCCCACGCAGGGGGTAATGCTATGAAATGCAAGTTTTAGATACCTCCCTGAAGCTCCAAAGATCAGCAGGTGCTCAAGTAAATTCTACCTGGCTGGGTGCAGAAATCACAGTGAGTTTAGAGTTTGTTGCCTGGTGAAAATCATGTAGCTTTGTGCTCCAGGTGGATTTGGCTTCATCTTCTCCGTAGACAGCTTTCTACTGACAGAGGCAAGAGTGGGAAGGGCCTTTCTCCATCAAGACTTCAAGGCAGCTGTGTGTGTTTTGCCCACAGGGTCTGCGTCTCTGGGTGGAAGCAGCAGAGGCAGGTGTAGTTGTTGTCTCCTTTGGCATTGGGATCCGAGCTCTTCCGAGCGATTTGGTGGAGAAGATGGCTGGCGCGTTTGCTCGCCTCCCACAAAGGGTGGTGTGGAGGTGAGGAGGGAATGGGATTCCTTCTGAGTTGGATGAAAACCAGTGTTGAGGGGTGATTAACTTCAAAACATAGAACTTGCTTTCTATCTCTTGATCTGATTGAATTTATTATTGTTCTCTGTGTGTTTCTCTTCTCTTTGTTTTCCCCTCCTCTGTCTCCTCCCACAGATACTTTGGTCAGAAGCCAAGAAACCTGGGTGAGAATACGCTGATGATGGGCTGGCTGCCCCAGAATGACCTGCTAGGTAAGGCTGGGTTCTGTGTATGTGTGTGCTGCTAGCAACATCCCTGGAATTTAGCCCAAACCACAGCAGAGGCATACAAGGACAATAGCACCTCTGTGGGTCTAAGTTTGTTGGTTTTTGTGAGTCTGATCTGCACAAAACATGGTCCTCACCTAACACCTGCTTGAAGCTGCTTGGCTCCTATCTCCCTTCTCCTCCAGGCGCTACTCAGCAAGTTTTGGGCTGCCAAAAGCCAGCTGTGTTCCCAAAGGGTAGCATCCTCTCTCCTCAGCATGCCTGGTTTTCCCTAAACATACATCAACACTGTGTGTAGCCCCTGGTAGCCCTCTTTCAACATGGAAGGCACTGACCTGCTGCCGTTTCTTTACCTACAGGCCACCCTAACGTGAAAGCCTTCGTCAGCCACTGTGGGATGAATGGTGTATTTGAGGCAATTTATCACGGTGTGCCAGTGGTGGGATTTCCTTTCTATGGGGACCAGTTCGACATCATGACCAGAGTGCAGGCAAAGGGCATGGGTATCCTCATGGACTGGAGCAGAGTAAAAGAAGAGGAACTTTACCAGGCTGTTATCACAGTCATCTCTGACCCCAGGTGAGGCATCTGGAAACATCAAGCTCTTCCTTGGTGCAGACTGTGTGTAGACACCAGTTGTGCCTTTGTGTTGACCCCTACACAGCCTGTACTGGCTTCTGGACGAAGCACAGTTGCAGGCATTGCTCAGCTGGCCAGATGTGTTAGTGCCTTGAAATGCTTAGATGCAGTTCAGGAGGAGATACTCCAGCATTTGCTGTTAGAGAGTGTGATCTAGTCCTGTTTGGTTCTGACTGTGATGTTCTTAGAAAGCTTTCTGAGATACTGGGCACAGACCTCTTCTCTTGATGCCAGCCTGTCATCAGGGAAAGTGAGATCACAACCTCACCTTGGGATCTCCCTGGTCTTGTCCAGACAGCTTTCTGCAGAAACACAGAGGAGACTGCCGGTAATGCTCCATCTATTTGTTCTGACAGCCAGATACTCTGCCCTTTCCTGGAACTGCTGCAGCCAAGTGGCACAGGGCTCCCATTTTCTAACGGGGTGTACAACTGCCAGTGCTTGAAATGCTGCCTGAGAGCTTGATTATTTTTTTTTTTAATATTTTATATTTCTTACCTATTAGGAGGTGTTGCAACTTGGTACCTTGAAGGATTTGGCCAGTCATCAAGTGTGTAACTTTTACTTGATGCTGGGTGAGGTTTTGGGTGCAAATTCCCCTCAGAAAGTACAGTACACATGAACTCACTGAACAGGTACTTGCAAGTTGAACTCTGTGTTGTTAACAAAACACAAAATAAAATACACTCTGGCTTGTGCTTCCATGGCTAGCAATTGCCATCAGAGTGGCTTTCAGAAGAAGAATGGAAGAAATTTTCCCTTCTCCAAAGGTATTATCTGGGACTTGAAAGCATCACTAGACATCTCGGATCACTCTCAGAAATTAAGCTCCTGTCAAAAGGTTAACTTCTTGTCTTCTTCCCTTGCAGCTACAGAAAAGCAGCCCAGCTCATCTCGGCTCTGCACCTGGACAGACCGATGCATGCTCTCAATAGGACAGTGTATTGGCTGGAGTACATCCTTCGTCACAATGGGGCACCCTATCTTCGCCCTGCTGTCTACGACCTCTCCTTATATGAGTACTTCTGCCTGGACATCTTGGCCCTCCTCTTGTTGTGTCTGGCCGGTGCTGGATTTGTTGTCTACAAATCTGTGGTGTGGTGCAGAAGGAAGGGGGCCAGTCCTGTGTATCAGAATGGCAATTGCATGAAAGGCCACTACACAGAAGAGAAAAAACTGCAGTAGTGGCTCAGTGTGTTCCAGGGCGAATCCTGTCACTGTGAAACGAACTGCTGCTGTGCCAAGAAATGTATGGCATGCAGGCACAGAGAGAGGTGAAAGATCCGTGGGTCTGGATGAGAAGAGAGTGGGGAGGGAGGAGTATTGCAAAGGCCTGTGTGCACACCTCTGTGTACAGCACCTGTGGGCGGGGGGGCGAATTCAGACGTGGGTGGGAGCACTTGGCCAGGACACTGGGAATGGGGCATGGGTAGACTTCCAGGGAGGAGTGCAAGTTGTTCCCTTTGTATTGCACATTGGTTTAAATGCTGGTGTTGCCCTTCTGTCTTTTTGGATCATGGAGGCCCTGGAGGTGGGAACAGCATTTCGTGAGGGGCAGACACCATTTCTCTGCCTTGTTACTAAGAGCCCCAGGAGTCAGGATACCTTTATGTGCAGGTGAGGACCTGAAGTAGAGCTGTGGACAGGTAAGGGCACTGAAAGTATCATCTACAAGAGAGCAAAATTGGTCTGTTTTAAATTCTGTGGGTAAATACCTTCCTGCTTCAATTGACCCTCTGCGATCCTGTTTGTTTGAGCTAAATTATTATTTTTTAAAATAAAGTTATATTCTTTCTCCTGTGTGGCAGTTCTCTGGTCTTGGTTTAATGTAAACCTGTGATATATGTAATAGGAAGTTGTTCAAGCTAGATTAAAGTGCTTTTTCCTTCTCATTACTGCTGCTATCATCTCTGCATACTTCCATCAGCAATTTTTTGGCCTTTCCACAGGCTTTCATGCAGTGCCTTCCCTCCTCTGCTAGTGTGTGGCACACACCCATGCCCATGGCATCTCTAAACCTGTGATGAGAGAAGAATCTGGAGCAGATGCAAGTGCCAGGACCACAGGAAGAGCAGCCAATAGCTCGGAGAGCTGGTCATAGGCATATGGGCCATACTGCATGTACATAGAAGTAGAAAACTCTGGTCTTTCTGAAGAAAAGGGAAAAGCTTGCTCATTTTGATCTGAACAGGCATACTGTTGCCGCACTTGGGGACATGGTATAGAGCAATACCTAATGTGTTTTTACTCACTCTGGACTCTTAAGGCAAACCCACACTTGGGTGCAGTTGCACAACCCACCCACAGCATTGGCTGATGGTCCCACTGGCATTGCCCCACGCTGAGGATCAAGGGCTCTGCTCCAGGCTCCCAGCTGGGGCCATTGCAGTGCTGGCACAAGCTGGAGAGTAACCTCACTGCCTCAGCTGCCCTCAGCAGTGTTTCCAGGCTCTGCTCTTGCTTGCTATTGCATGTGTTTCCCTTTCTGGATAAAAAGTGTGTTACCACATGCAACCCAGTGAAACAGCAGTTTGGCTGGGCTCCTGGGATGGTCTAGGTTGGGATACTGCCTACCTGTGACTCAGGGGCCCCTAGGAGGCCAGGCAGCACTGTCTTCCCTACCCAGCCCTCAGCGTGCAGAGGGGCTATGGTAAGGGTGACTTTGGACAAGGATCTCATTTGCCATCAAAGACAGATGAGAAGAGCCCATAGCCCTAACTTATGACTATCTGGGACCTGTAACTATCTCATGACAGAAGTTGCCCTTCCTGGAGCTTCTTACTGCCCCCTGAGATGCCCAAGCCTGACAATAGTCAGTGACAGGCACAGCAACCCCTAAGTCTTGCTCTGTAGTAGCCCTCTGTGGCTTCATGCCCTCTGAGCTGAGGGTGTGGAGTCTAATTGTCCCTACTGGGAGACAGAGGGAGATCAGAGCAAGGTGAGCTGCTAAGAGATATTAGGGGGGAAAATGGATGTTGTAGGTAAGTGGTAGAAACATTGTTTGCCTGACACCTTTCTATTTGCAAGTTGAAATTTAAAGGCTGATGGGATTTGGGGTTTATTTTTGGATAAAAAATGATTGCCACAAGTTTTCAGCATTTCCTGCCTGTTGCACTATGGTGACCTTGTTGTCATGTCCTAGCAGATGAGTGTGGACAAGGGGGTGGAGGTGGAGCATTTTGTCATTTCTGAGGTGGAAGAAGGAGATCATTACTGCTGCCTACGTGAGAGTTTGGATGTTCAGATTAGGCTGAATATAGCAAGAGAGCTGGCAAGCTTGTGGCTTGGTAACTGTGCTGGATTGTTTTGAACTTTAAGAAAAATAGCAAGAGGACAAAGGCATCGTGTTTGCAAAGTGGTGCACCAACAGAAGCACTGTGGCTTGATGGGGATAGAGACCTTCCTGCTGCTTTGCTTGCAAAACAAAAGAGCAGACAAAGATGTTTGAGACCCAAGGAGCCTGTGTGGGCTTACAAAAACGTGAGACTATTTTCCTATGCTGCCTCCTCGCTACTCACAATTCCAAAAAGAAGTTCAAGCCAGCACCACGTGCAGCATTGGCGTGTTATCTGCTATCAGATATGCCCTTAACTCCTTGAACTTCTCATGACTATCATTTCCACAGGTATTACAGAGTTAGGAGGCATGCCTAGCCAGGCAGTCAAAATACATGTAGTATATTAAAAAATTATTCAACAATTTGGTGAGAACTACTTCTAATGGAGTAAAGCACTAACCTGCCCAAGGACCCTGTGAGTAAGAAGAGGACATTCAAAAAACACTCCTGAAATGCAGAGTCTTCCCCATGAAAAGCTGTGTACAGGCTTAGAAACTGTCAGGAGCCATTCTTTAAATTATGAGGTGGTTTTATGGAAGTACTGAACATACTCATTAAAGATGAGGGCTTCTCTAGCTTTTCCAGCTTTATTCCTGTCCTCTGTAAATCTTCTCCTACTAAACACATAGCTTGCTCTCTTTGCTTTCCTCCTTGTTATTCCTTCAGTATTGAACACAGAAGGAAAGTATAACAAGGCATTAAGCTAGTTATTAAGTTAAATTAGGACAGTAGCCTGTCACACACATAAAAGCCTTGGTGGGGGAAGGGATGTAGGTGAGCTTTATCCTTCTGGCAGCTCTGCCTTCATCTTGGTGCCCGATCTCTGGGCACAGTGCCTCTCAGTTACTGAGTGCTCTCCCCTGTCACAGGTACTGAGGCGGGCAAGTAGGGCTGTGGTGCAACTTAGGAAATTAAAACTGTGGTTTATGAGGCAGCAAGCAGGGAGCAAGCCCTTTTTATTTCTTTTTCTTTTTTTTCCCAGCAAGGAAAAGTAGAACATGAGTCAATACTTCTCAGAAGGCTGAAGAAGCCTCACACAGGAGCTGCAACCCCAGCTGAGCCCCGCACAGTGCAAAACCGCCTTCTGCCCCTCTGTCTTGCTCTCGGCAAGGCACGGAGAGCCTGAGCAGGATGCAGCAGTGCCAGCAATCTCGGTGTTGTGTGCCGATCTCGCTGCGAGGGCCCCGAGTGGTTCTGCGGTAGGGAGGTGTTGAGGGCACGCATGAGCCAGCTTTTCAGGTTCACCCGGCCCCACAGCTCCTCATAAACCTGCTCTGTGCGTGAGGAACAGCAGGCCCTGAGATCGGGAGCCATGCCGCTGGTTTGGAAATGAGTGTGTTTTCCAGGTGATGGCTGTCCAGCTCTGCCCAAACCCTGGGCTGGGGGCAGCTCCTCTGCTGGGAGCAGCCCCTTGCCGGGGATAGGGAAGGGGTGAAGCCACACGGTCGCAGGGCTGTTGTTATGACCCTCCTCCTTAGCCCAGCGCCGGTGGCTGCACCATTGCTGGAACACACAGCAGAGCCCGGCACTGCCTCAGAGGCTGCTCCCCTGAGGACTTTGCAACTAGCTCATAAACTACTGCTGCTCATCCCCGCTGCTTGGCTTTGGGAGGGTCCCCGCATACCCCTGGCAGCAGCTCCACGGGAGTGCCTGGCCGTGGGCTGCAGGAGGGCCACGTCAATTCCGCGGCAGGTTTTTCCAGCCTGGTAAGGTGGCAGCACCAAACTGTGTCAACAAAATCTGGCTAATAAAGAGGAGCCGTCTCCCTCTGCAGGCGAATGTGAGATCACTACATCTGGGAGAGGAAAGACTAGAGGAGACAATGATTTTGACTCACCCCACCGTTCAATGACAGCGAACAAAGCGCACCTCTCCACTAGGAAATCCCTTCCCCTTGGCTGATGTAGGGGGCTGTGCGTGGCTCAGCCCCAGCCACTCGCCCCTGACAGGCAAGGTCTGCCCATGGACATCTCCCTTATGGCCCCCATGCACCTCTCTGACACTCTTGAGATCATGGGCAATACTTTCCTCTGATGCTTCCATATTACAAATATTTCCCACAAAGGCAAGGAGCCCAAGCTCTGTGGGTGCCCAGTCTCCAGCAGTGGCCATGTGCCATCGAGACCACTGTTAGAGCGGGTCCCCTCATACCCCCCAGGACCTCCTTGGGCCTGTGTCACAGCAGATGGAGCTGCACAGCAGAGAATATCACCAATAACTACTCCTGTTCCCGGGAACAGGGAATTATCAGACTGGTGCCAAGGTTCCAACCCTGATTTATTTCAGGAAGGAGGTTTCTTTGGGGGGATGAGCTGTATTTCAGCCCTGGGGATTACCTGACTCACCAGCCATGTTTCAGAGGCTGGAGTCTTCCCGGCCACTGGAGTTACAAGTCATCTTTAGTGATGCTGCCTTCATGCTCCTGTGGTGTCAGCCTAAGGGGTAACACATAGGAAAGGATATTACAAAATATAGCACTGGTCTCCCCAGCATCAGTATGCACATTACTATTCCTCATTCCTGGTAGAGAAAAGCCAGCTGCTAAGCTTGGCACAAGCTCCCAGAAATGTGCATAAGGAACACTGGGACACAAGCCACCAGTGGTACCCGACAGGAGCACTCTCACTGTCCCACCTAGGCAGTGGCATTGGGCAGGGAGGGGAGATGCAAAGCAGCACCAGGCACGGTGGTGTTGGGAGCTGCTCTGTGGGTGGCTTATGGCAGAAGTCTCATTGGTCACCCCGCAGCAGCAACTCCTCAGGTGGTCTCTGCCCTCTCCTGGTAATGGAAGTGAAAGAAATTTCACCTGCAAACAGGACAAAACTTTTGGACAGTGATATGATGAACTTCAGTTTTGTGCTCTCAGCTTTGCCTGGGATTGGCAAATAAACCTAGACTCTGCAGCCTTGATAGACTTCAACCAGAGGAAAGAGGTGGTGTTTTGTGTGTGTCTGGTGTTGGCATAACTTCTA